AATTGTTTCAGCCCTGGAAAAAGTGATGAACTGATGTGACTTTGACCTACGGAAGCCCAAAAGAGAGAAAAATAATCTTCACAAAAATTTCAAATATTTGAATTTCTCAATTAATCAGCCAGCCCTTCTAAACATAGACATCAGGCAGCAGATGTATTTGGCTGATATTTGCATAGTTCTCCCAGGATCAAGTTTTTTTTTTGGTTTACATTAAACTTGCATAACAGCTGTTATAGTTGTGTCAATTTTAAATGTTTAAATGGAGGAAGACAAAGAAAAAATCTGCATAAAAATATCTGCCAAAAAGAAAATAGGCAGCACATATCTTGTATTGGTTAGACCACATATGTCAAAGTCTAGGCCCGCAGCCTTGGATGGAGAGAGGGGTGGATCTTATCCTGCAGGTCATAATGACGGACACGCTGCCGAGCAACGGGCAGGTGGGATCCGTATGACAGGCGCGGACCTCTCCCCTGACTGGGGCCGGGATATTTACTTAAAGAAGTTAACTTTCACGGACAGAACCAGATCTGTCGGCCTGTAAACACCCACTTAATGGACGGACAATCTGACAGGACTGGCTCTAGATGAGTTGAGTGACATCTACACTTTGCATACTGAAAAAGCACAGGGTGCCAAGGTCAGAAAAGGTTTTCTATTTACCCATAAAACTTGGGTAAACAGAAGAAACAGCCATATCTTGATGACAAACTGCACTTGCACAGCTGGGTGAGTAACATGACCAAAACATAATCCATAATATCGTATGCCTTATACCTTCATTTACCTGCTAAGAAGTGTGCGCTGCATGCATGAGCATGCCTGATGATAGTTTCTGTTTTTCATTGCATTTTACCACAGCTACCATAGTTAGTTTTTTTTTGTTTGTTTTTTCTCAGTGGCAGCAGGTATTGCATAAAACTTCAAACTGTCTGTATTCTGTTGATTCTGGCACCAAAAACAACCCAATAAGCTAATTTAAGTGTACCTGACAATGTGCTGGATTGTATTGTCTGCCTCCAGTTGTCAAATTTGATTTACCTCCAGCTAACAGACTGATGCAGACAGAAAAGGGGTCTATTAAATAATTACATTTCCTTTTAGTAGGGCGGACAGACAGACAGAGTGAGTGAAATATGTTGTTTCTTTATTGGTCACCACTCTATGGCACTTTATTTTTTGGGGTCACAGGCTAAAATGTTTGGAAACCCATGTTCTAGGGAACCCATGACAGAGTCTGGACTAAAATCTTGCTGGAGGGAGCTAAAGGTTAGAAGGAAAGCAAATAACCCTGAGAGCTCACAATGAAAATGAATCCAGGGCAAACTGAGGCTTACATTATCAATAAAGGTCTATGTTGGTTTTCCTTTGGGAAATGCCTCTCTTTCTGTCACGAGCAAACTTCCTGGTTAAATGAGTTTAAAATTAAAGCTGCCGGGAGTATAAATAATCTTGCACAGGTAAGAAACACAGTAATTCATTAGAGCTGCTGCAATGAACCTGAACCCTTGTTTTGTCGTATCACAATAGAAAAAGATTTTAGGGGTAGTAATTTAAACACCACCATGACACAACCCTGAGAAGAATTGTGTAGGATACATATGCACGACCTTACAGGTCTCTGTGGCGCAATCGGTTAGCGCGTTCGGCTGTTAACCGAAAGGTTGGTGGTTCAAGCCCACCCAGGGACGACAATCTCTTTAGCTCCAAATTGCTAAGGAATAAATTATTAAAATAAAAATACATTATCTTAACGCCAAAGGCAAATCTAAATTAAAAAGGATTTTGTTAAACACTACTTACTCAAGGCATAAATCCTATGCAAGCACACCAAAGTCAAGTCTATGCTTTTGCTGTCTATTGACATATTTTTTCCATAAAATGATTTAAATCAAAAGAAGTATGCATAGTAATACAGCTGCAGCCTTCCGTATTCTCCTTGCCCATCCATTAAATGCACTAATTAACCACCTTATTGTAATCGTCTGCAGCGCTGAACAGCAGCTGAGTGCTCACATCCTGACCGACAGGCTCGGGTGAGTGTTTAAATAAAGCTGCAGCACACAACTCGCTGCCCAGAGCCTGTTAAAGTGTAACCTGATCCAATGCTGGCCTCACGCAGGCCTTTCCCGCTTTAGCCAGCTCCTAATTAGCTGCAGCACCTACTGTAAAGCATCATAAAAAATAGTCAAATTTAATCCAATATTCACCCTTATGATGATATTGATCTGACTTAGATGGTTTTAATGGTTTCAGCCGATCACCTTCAGCCCAAAGTAATAATTTAGTTAAACAGTTAGGATGGCTAATGTTCTGGAAGGTGTCTGAGCATACAACTTTATTTTAAAGGTTAGAAACCTTAGCGTATGTTTTTCTGCAGGGTGACTGATGGATCTTACCCTCAGGCGCTGCTGAGATGTTGGTGATTTTAAGGTGTGGGTTGGGCAATGGAGCTGGAACCACATCTTTACCCAGAGCAGGGACCTCCGGCAGGGTGAACACTATCTCATAACGATGCTGCGTCTTCAGGAAGCCAACCTACCAACAGAATGGGATTTTTTTTAAACATTTTAAACACCTTAAAACCCCAAAATCCAACCAAATAATTAACAGTTTAAAATAAGATGTCCAGCTTTATTATTCCATACACCATGCAGAATGCACAGTGGAACAGCCCCACAGCATGACACTCCCACCATCATGCTCAATGGTGGCTGCAATTTAACATGTTAGACAAGATGTTTGTTCCAAATTTTACAGTCGTAACGGTTCCTGGGTTGACCTTGATCATTGTGGGCCAATTTTCTCCCTTCTGAGAGTCAAAACTCTGGACCAAACTGTTGAAACTGTGACATGAATGGGTGTTACGACAGGACAAAGAACCAAACCAGACATTAAAACTGGTTTTAGACTGGATATTACAGGATAAAGTTAGCCCCACCCTTGTGGAACTAAGTGAACTTACTAGTTGTATAATAAATGCACACAATCAGAAAACCTAAACCTAAATTACAATCATACTGGAAGTGAATGGGAGTAATCTTCTGACAAGCAATGAAATAAAATGATGTCATACAGAGGCCTGGCCACATAATGTAGAACTGGTTATGGCTTCATAAAAGTAGAGCAAAGATAAGTAAAGAGCTGACACAGTTTTCATGCTATGTTGACTGTTTTGTGTTACTCTGGTCTTTAAAAACACAGGACTGGTTACAAGTATCATGTCAACAGTAATCTAATTATCTGACAGATCAGTGCTGAGGGTTAGCTTAAAGGTACGGCACAGAAAAGCATACTGACATATCATTCAATACAGAAAATTACAAAGTTGAGCCATTTTTAAGTAAGTAAAATAAAGAAGATGGAACTAAGCTTCCCGAGGGTTGGATTCTCTCACACTTTAAATCATGAAAGACTTATAAGTGTGTACTCTGCATGTGTTAACAGGAGAACATGTGGTGGGAAAGGGTTAGAAAGAGAAGTAGAAGGTGATTTTCAGAGGAGCTGAGAAGATGTCACATCAAAATATTCAGCAAAGGGAAAAATTCATGAGGAGGAATCAGCCCAGCCAAGGAGGGTAGGAATCCACCAACTAGACAGGCTGCGAGGAGAGACAGAAAGAGGACAACAGCAGCAGACTTCAGGGAAAGATAGATCAAATGTAAAGGCCTCCAGCTAGAGCAGGAGGGCTCAAAAGCCCCCGGTTACAGCGATGAACAGAGCAGCATAAACGAGGGGGATGCTCTTGGAGACCTGCCCTGAAAAACAATCATTCTAGAGACAGAGACTCTAAACCGTCTGGGAACATTTGATCTCATAAACCGTTTTGCTGAAACATTAAAAAGGTTAAACCCTCATCAAATGCTAAGTAACTTCAAAAAGGAACAATTTCTCTCAGTATCTTCTATAGTTTATCTTTAAATTCTAAAGTAAAGAACATCACTGGGTTAAAACAATTCTGCCAATCACCACGAAACTATCAACATTCTGTACTGATAAAGGTTTTCACAGGCACTGAACCTTTGTTTTTGCCTTTGAGATACAGAGAGAGCTGCTATATAAAAAAGGTTTTGATCAAAGGTTATTCATGTGTTACAATGACTCAGTTCAGCCGTCTGCAAACTCTGGCTTCAGAGCCACAAAAGACTGTTTGGATCTTCCACAAAGGCTCTGAATAATCAGATAAAGACTCAACTGATGATTGGAAATATATATATATAATAGCAAATAGAGGGTTAGCACAGAATGAACAATGTAATAGGGCTGTCGGTGAAAATATTGTATGTTTCACTATTGAAGGTACAGGAGAATGTCTTGGCGTTCAGGGCAACAATTTTTGATGACTAGTCTTAACAAAAAAAATTAAAATGAAAGGTAGAACAATAAGCCGTGTGACAGAAGTAAATAAAGGTGTAATGAACAACTATTCAGATAATTATTAATTTTATCGTCAAGCAGATGTTCAAGATCAACAGGAAAATCCATCAGGATTCATTGTTTTGATCGATTTGAAAAAAGCTGGAGAAGTGCCAGTGTTGAATATAAAGTACATTTTTCTTTCTACAACATTAAGGACAATTTAATATAGTCTGGATCCTGATATTTTACTCCATTCGCATTAAGGGAATCCTTGGAGAACTCCATTAGTTGTACTATGTTCACAGGTAAGTGTAAAAGATGAGGACATTATTATTCTCCTAATATATTCTCCTCCAGTAAGAGATTAAAGTGAAAAAACAAACAATCCCATTTTTAATCTTAGCTTTAACTTCATCCAAGATTTGCGCAATAACAAGGAAACACTGAAATAAGCCAAAAAACAACCGCTCTATATCATCTGATTAAATTATAACCAGCTGTTCATTGGAAACAACGTGCTGAGAATTAGCCGCCTCGTCAGCTGACAGCTGTCAAAGGGAGCAAGCTCTGATTAACATCTGAAAAGTTCATTTTATGACACATAATTTTGAATTCAATAACATTTGACACAGCGTTCCACAATGGCTGTGTTATTGTTGCTCAATCTGCAGGTTTACTAGTGGTTCCTCGACTTTCTAAAAGTTAAATGGTAGATAGATCTTTTAGTTATCAGGCTCCTCTCATGTGGAACCAGATACTAGTTTTAGCCCATCAGGCAGACACCCTGTTTACTTTTAAGACTAGGCTTTAAACTTTCCTTATCCTAAAGCTTACAGTTAGATTGGCTCAGGTTAACCTGAGCTATCTCTATAGTAATGCTGCTATAGGCTTAGACTGATGGAGGATATAGGGACCCCTTTTTCATCATTCTACTTCATTCTATCTCTATTCTCCCACTCTGCAGTATTTCTTAGTTCAATCTCTAATGCTATGCTCTGTTTTTTTCTCATAGTAGCTTAATTTGTTTTGTTGGTTTTATTTTACTTCCTGCTGTTTTGTCTTCTGTGGCATCTTTATGCTTGTACTTTTTAGCTTCCTGTTTTTAATGTTTTTATCTGCCTGTACAGTGTCCTTGGGTGTTGTGATAAGGCGCTTTCAAATAAAATGTATTATTATTATTATTGTTCCTGTTTGGCTGTGACACCATCCTGGAGAGAAATATCAGCTGTGCTGCTGCCATCAACACCTTTGTTTATAGATGATAAAGTCAGTCTTGTTTCTCAGTGTTTAGTTACATTTCTCTCCTAGACACAGCTATAGGCTCAGCTTTTACTGTCACTAACTATGTGCTTGCTTTCATCCCTTTTGACATGAAAACTGGCTCAGAGCTCCTCTATTTAACCATTTCTCTCCTAGACAGAGCTGCCTGTAGAGCTAGCTTATTGTTAGCTTTTCTAACATAGATAGTATTTATAGATCAGTGCTTCTATGTACATTTAGTATGTCTATTTCTCTCACCATTATACAGCTAATTATGGAAAGTTTAAGAGAATAAGCATTTTTTTGGAGCGGAGGAGTGGTAGTTAAACATATATGCTGTAAATGTTATCAACAGGACTTCTGCCAAACATCTATGTCTAAACGAGCCCTGCTGCAGTCCCATTAAAGGACCGGTGCACAGAAATTGGGTCACAAAACCAGGCTTCAACTCATTTGCTCAAAGGGATCTGACACTATTAACAGCACCATCTAAACCTTTACAGTTTTTTTTTTTACATTTGTAGACAAGCTGAATGTCTTGATTTCTCAGGATTTGAGCCAAGTTTCAATATCACTGTATATAACTACACGGTTTACAAAGAACTGGATTAACCAGAGTTTGTTTCTTATATAAACTCAAACAGGTTGAGCTAATCAAAGAATGGGAGGTAAAAAAAATTCTTCTCTTTCACCCAGTTCCCTTGGGTTCTGGTTCTTTTTGCTTATTGATGGGGTTTTAACTGGATGAAAATAACATGTTTTTCTATGAGTGAAATATGCGCGACTAAACAATAAAGGCTGGATTTGATATGGAGGAGTGAAGTGATGAAACAGCACATTAAGCTGAGGCTGTTTCTCATAAACTCTGTGAGGTTTTCCTTAATGTCACAAATCAAAGCAGTAATGCTCCATGGACAAAAGAATTTCAACCGGTGCATTATTTGCAGTCAATTTTAGATTTTTAAACTTTAGCGATACCTGCATGTTTTAATTATAAACCTATGTGACTAGGAATTGGCACGCAATGTGACAAAAAACATTAGCAGCATCAGAGCAAATGTCTGAAAGAAGCTGGTAAAGAAGGCTGGCCCTAATTTAACAAAGAAGCATTCTTCTTTAAATAAAATGACCAACTATGATCGTACTCAGTCAGGAGGATCTTCAGTCAGAGGCTTCTCTAGATCAGCTGTGAGACAGACCACTACAGGAGACCCTTCCTGCCTGCAGCTTTTAACATCTACAAATTCTCAAATAATAATTACAATAATAATTACAAAATGTTATTTCCCTTCAAAATAAATCAAGTAGTTTTTTAATTAACTTGTTTAATTGTATAAGATAATTTATAAGATTGTATTTAAAACAAACATTTAAAGTTTCTGTTGGTGAAATTCCTATTAGATTAATGTGAAATAGATCGATAAAAAGCTGTACTGGTAGGTAAGAGGCTTTATGCAAAAAAAAAAAAAACAATTATATATATAATAGTTAATTATTATCAATTAACAAAAACATTAGCTCCCTCTTTGACACAATTAAGCCCGCTTCTTAAAATCTCATTTAATGACCTTATCTGAGCAGAGTGGTTAGAGAGCAGGGGGAATGAGAGGCCTCAAGATCACTGGGTCAAATCTCCGTCACTGTCACTCTGGGTCACTGGGGAAGACCCTTTACCTTAGAGTGGTCCCTGTGTGCTACTCCCTAAGTGATGGCTTTAATGCAGCTGACAGATCTCCCCACTGTGGGACTATAAATGGATCTGTCTTTCATGTTTCTTGAAACATGAGGGCTGTGTGAAACTCAACATCCTTTAAAGGGAACATCTCCAAACAGTGTTGGTGTTTGCAGCACAGGCGTCTGCTCATTACCATGTCCCAGTTTGACCGCTGTAATGAGAAGCAGTAGCTTCCTTCAGAGGA